GACTCTGGGGTACCATTTCACAACTATCAGATTGGCTAATAGGACAGAAAAAAAATGATGAATGTTGGAGAAGATGTGGGAAAATTGGAACACTAATGCATTGTCGGTGGGGTTGTGATCCAACCATTCTGGGGAGCAATTTAGAATTATGCCCAAAGGGCTATAAAATTGTGCATACCCTTTGACCCAGCAATACCACTTCTAGGGCTATATCCCAAAGGGATCATAAAAATGGGAAAAGGACCTACATGTACAGAAATATTTATAGCAGCTTTTATTGTGGTGGCAAAGAATTGGAAATTGAGAGAATGCCCATCAGTTGGGGAATGGCTGAACACGTTGTGGTATATGAATGTGATGGAATACTATTGTGCTGTAAGAAATGATGAGCAGTTAGACTTCAGAAAAACCTGGAAACACTTACATGAACTGACATTAAGTGAAGTGAGCAGAAGCAGGAGAACATTGTACACAGTAATGGCAACACTGTGCGATGATCAGCTATGATAGACTTGACTCTTCTCAGCAGTACAAGGATTAAGATGACTCCAAAAGACTCACAATGGAAAATGCTATCCCCATCTGCAGAAAGAACTGTGGAGTCTGAATGCAGATGAAAGTGTACTATTTGCTCTCCTTTTCTTTTGTTGTTTTGTTTTATTGCTTCATTCTCACCTCCCATTAGTTCTAAATGTTTTTTACATAATGACTAATGGGAAAATATGCTTAATATGAATGTATAAGTAGAGTCTGTATCAGATTGCATGCCATCTGGTGGGGGGAGAAGAGGGAGGAGAGAAAATTTAAAACTCAAAAATATGGAAGTGAATATTGAAAGCTAAAAATAAATAAATTATTAAAAAAAAAAAGATTCCTAATTCAGTTCTGGTTGGATCAGATGACCTCTAAGATCCTTTCCAGCTCAGTAAATTGGCCTTCATTGGCCTAGTTTTTTAAAGTGTGTTCTGAAGTTCAGCCCTATACTATGCTCAGAAGGAACGTAATATCTCCTGTTAAGGTATTTGGAAAAGAAATACTGAAAAGTGTACAATTTCCTGTAAGTTGGACAGTCCTGAGATTGCTGATATAAATTTGTACCTGGACACAGTAAATTGGCTCCAAAGATTTTTAGGCATACCAAAATCTTCATTTGTGCTGTAAAAATGTTCACCAATTATTCTTATGCTTCCTAATATTATCAGGCTGATATAGTTGATATTTGTAGTCATCAGTCACCATGTTTTCATTGTTGAATACATGTTTTCATTTTTCAGAACTTTATCTTTTAGGCCTAATCAACTGATTTTAAGGCACTTGACAATTTCTGTATCTTTATACAAATACTACTTACTTAGTCTTATAGAATTGGTTAAAAAATGTGAAAAGTTAATTTTTATAAATTGAATTGCATTCCAGTTTATTGGGCAAGTTTGCTAATTAAAATAACTCCTCCTACACCAGATTGTAGGAGTGTAATTGTTGTTGTTGTTGTTGGTTTTTGGTTTTTGGTTTTTTTAAAAAAAACAGGTAGTGGTATATCAGGTGGGCTGACAGTGGGTTACACCTGTGTTGCCTAATTCAATTTGCAAACAGTACTACTGAATAGATTGCTTTTATATAAAGCAGTAAGAATGTGCATGTTTCCTTTTCTTCTCTTCCTCCTTTTTTTTTTCTTTTTTCTTCCCATTCTTGTTTTTCAAATTCTTTTTCTTTTTTCTTCCCAAAGAAAATCTAGAAAATCAAATCCTTAGATCACCTGATAGACAAGGAAGAAAACCAAAGACAACTGGAGGTAATGGAATGGCTCGCAGAAGCAGGAGTGACAGCTGGGACTTTTTATGAATGAATTGGAGAGACTTCATTGCATCTGATGTCATTAAGCCTTCCATATTTGAAATTAGATTCCCTGGGTTGTATAGTATATATTTCTATAAATAATGTATTAGTTGCAGAATTCCAATGTTATAGTGAAATGTTGAAATGCAACTTTAGGTATATGCTTTAACTACTGCCGCAAGAGAGACAATTATGCCTATGTAGTGCAGGATACCAGTGTCATCTATTAATTGTTCTCAGTTACAGTTTTAGCATTTTAGCAAATTGCTATGGAAGTCGCAATCAGTTGAAATTGTCCTGGCTATATTATCTATTTGGGAAATTAATAGTATATTCATAAATAATCTTCAAGTCCACTGGAAATTAAATACTGAAGAATGTGTAATTTCCTGCAATATGGACAGTCCTAAGGTTGTGCTGACATAAATCTGTACCTGGACACCCCCAAATTCAAATTTGGCAATGAAAATTCTTAAAGGTTTCCAGTCATTTTTAGGAGCAAATACCTCCAAATAATTGGTTAATGATTTTCTTTATTTCATGGGACAGTTTCTTTTATAAATACTTTGTTTAAATTTTAGATTGTATTTTTTCTCTTTACTTAATTTTAAAATGATGAATCCAGTTTTTAATTAGCTGTTATTCCAAGCTATCATGCTTTAGCTATGTCAACAGCGTTTATTTGTACTAAGGCTAATATTTCCATCAAAATTTGCCTGCAGAGCACATATAGTTCTATTTTAAAATGCCAATACTTGAGATATATTGTATGAAGCTATTGTCAGCTTCTCTATTTCAAAATGCAATCAGCATATAACTATATTGATATCAGATAATATTTGTTTTTTAAATATATTGATGTATGATAAAGATGAATTAATTTGTGAATGCATATGTGCGTGTGGTTACTTTTTATATTGTGAAATAATGAATTATGAATTTATTAAAAATAAAACATAGGCTAATGCAGTACCTATATATTTGTGAAGAAAGTTTTAAATCATTTTCTGCAATGTTTCCTTTATAATTAAAAGGTAAGAAACCATAGTTTATTTAATGGCAAGTAAGAGAAGATATACTGTCTTCAGGATTGTCCAAGCCTTATTCTTCTCCTTTTCCCTCCTGATACCTGATTTTTGGCCATGTTAGCGATCCTAAATGCTCCTATAAGGTTTGCAGTTGAAATAAAATTGAACAGTCAGCCAGTCAGATTATGATGTCAGTAGTAAAGGTCTGGAGGAGGAGATAGAAAGTGCTGGCTGACTGAAGTTTGGGGCTCCTTGTGATTTCATTTATTCCTGCCCTCTGTGTGTCTTAACATCCATCCAGTTAGAGTCCATTATGTAAACTCAATATACTGCTCTCTAGAATAGAGTATTTGAAAGTGTATAATGGGGAATCTCTAAGATCCATAAGCTTTCTCTGAAACCTTGATCATCCTTTATTCTGTCAACAAGAGCAGTAATAAAGAAGGGAGGTGCATTGTTTTGACTTCCTTGGTTTGCACTCCTTATGCTATAAGCAGACTTTTTGGCTGTATTTGGAATTTTATGTTGGAATTTTGAGAGTAAAAGTTGTAATATTACCTCATGACCTGTTGCTAATTCAGACGTGACTTATTTGGTTCCCAGTTTTTAAAACATGATTCGATTCGATTCGATTGAACAGATGTGTTTTAAGCACTTTCTGAGTGCAAAGCCGCATGTGAGAGCCCAGCACTAGAGCTTGGAGTTGAGTACTTAAACATAACACCTACTAAGCCTTTTCACATGTTTGGTTTCACTTAATCTTGAAATCTGTAAGAAAAGATACCTGTTTACATCTTTCAGGAAGCAATGTTGTTAAAATTCTGAGAGATCACCGTGAAGCCTCTTTCTTAGATTAAGGTTCCCCAGGACTATACAGTGAAACCCCAGCAACATAGAACAGAACCAATTCCTGCCTGAAATAATCATGTGTTAATTATATCAGGCTCTTACTATATAGTAGCTGTGTTTGAAAGAATTCTGCCTACACTGTATCTGACCACATATAGGTTCAACCACATTCATTTCTGTTCGGTGGTATTCTGTTCTCTCAGGTAGTTCCTTTTCCAGTCTTTACCTTTTTTTCTTTTTTTTTTTTTGGTGAGACAATCGGGGTTAAGTGACTTGCCCAGAGTCACACCGCCAGTTAGTATTATGTGTCTGAGGCCAAATTTGAACTCAGGTCCTCCTGACTCCAAGGCCAGAGCTCTATCCACTGCACCACCTAGCTCCCCCCCCCCCCCGTCTTTACCTTCTTAAAAGAAAAATGTGAAATACAATTTTATCATTTGAAGTAATGCCAGACACATGGCCACATCCTATAAATCTGTGGAAAAATGGGTATTTAGATATGTTAAGTTATATTTGGGAGTTTCAGGGGGTAGGTGTGTGTATAAGAGAGAACCAATTCAAGGGGGAGGTTCTAGCCTGAAAGTGGGAGTGATGTACATTAGGCTGATTTACAATCTGAGAATAGACTAACATGCAAATTAGAAGCTGGAAAGCTGGATTAGGAACATTTTGGTAGTGTTATCTGATACTCAATAGCTCCATATTAGCATTACTATGAGTATCTGTGAATTTATTTTTAATTTTATTTTGTCTGTGTTCAATTTTGTTACTAGAAAAATATTCTGAAGATTCATTGCTCACAGGTAGGTAGATGGAGAATGTAGCTTACAATAAGTGTCAGACTCAAATAGAAACGGGATCCCTGCAGGCCTCATATTGACTTTAAAAAAAAAACACAAATTAACATCATCTACATTGTATATTTATTTTGTTAAACATTTCCCAGTTATATTTTAATCTGGTTTGGGCTACACTAGCCTGTATGTAGGTGGAGAGTTTGGTTTACATAATTACCTGGCCTTTTTAAAAATATCAGGTATTGAAATCAGAGTCTGTCATGGAGATGGTACATGACTGAGGTGTTATAGCCTGAAATTCTAGTTGAAGGCATCCAGAACATTTTTTTATTGTTGTGTTGCTGCAAAATTTCTGGAAGGGTGGTGAGCATTCAAATGAAAATGTCTTTTTTGCTAACTTACCACAAATGTGACTTTGAACAAGTCATTTTTACTTCTTTGAACTTTCCTCATCTCTAAAATAAAGGAGTTGGATGAGACTATCTCTTAGGTCCCTTCCAACTTGAAATTCTATGATCCTATGATGTTTTCCTTGACCAAATTAAAATAAAATAAAGTAGTTTACTTATGCTTAGACTATTCCCTCTATTCCTTGCTTTGCTGTTTTCCCACAAATAAATTGAACTAACTAGTACACAAGCAAACCACTCACCAAAAGCAACCTAGAGTTAATGAGTGGCAAGATTCTTTATGGAGGTATAAATCCATTTTAATTCAACAAACATTTATCCATTATCATATCCCTGCCATTATAGGGTCTTGTGTGTGAACATTACTAATTCACATTATTGGAATACAAATAATATCTTGTAGTTCACTCCCAATTTAAATCACTGAACAAAAAGAACAAACAAGCAATTCATTTTCAGTCGGTTTTAAATGTTAGAAATGAAACAAAAATGGTTGAATACATTTATAATGAATAATAAAGCATATAATCAAAAGAACATGGAAATTAATCCCCTTAATGAGCTACTCAACTTTTTTCTGAAGGAATAAGCGAGTTTATTCTTTATCATTTTTGTTTTTGTTATCATCTTGTGTCTTGCTGCTTTGTTGGCTTTTACAGGCAATTTGGAGAAGCAGAAACACTGCTTGATTTTTGTAAAGTTTGTTGGAAGGCATTTGTTTATTAGATAGGCTTTAATTACCGTCGCTTGGTGTAATGGAGAGAGACCCGGACAGGAAGACAGGAGACTTAACTGTAGTCCCGGTTCTATCACTGACTAGCGGTGTGATCTTTGGCAACTACAATTTCACTGTAGTTTCATAATCTAAAATGATAGATGTGGATTAGGTAATCTGTAAGGACCCATTGAGCCATCATATCCTGTGATTCTACCACCATCCTTTTAAATTTGCCTGAAAAACATCTCAACTGAGTTGACATCACTGAGCCAGAGGCAGTGCTGAGTGTATAACTACAATTATTTCCCCTCATTTCAGCCACCAGTGAGTGACACTCTAATGGTTTATAAAGAAACAATTTCTTTAGCACTCGAAGAAAATAAAAGCTAATTTTAAGGAGAAACTTTCTTACAGGCCCATTCCTTCCAAGCTCTTTATCTTTCCGACTGTACTCCAATAATGTCCATGTCCATCATTGTAGGCAACAGAATAAAGTCCACTTGAGTCCTAAAGCCTTATTGTCAAACTAGTCCTACTGCCATGTTTTAGTGGCTGAAAACTTGGTTAAAATATGAGGCAGAAAGCACGAAGACTTCCCTGCAGTAAATACTATCTTCATCTTCACTCCCAGCAGATTTCCACAAGAAGCTAGAAGCACAACCAAAACTAACCTGGGATGAGGACAATTCTCTTCCTGCCCCGCCTGCATCTTATGCATTATCATATGTACCTGTGGTAGCAAAAGACATTTGCGCGTGTTACGAATTACGGAAGAGACGGGTTGACCACCCTGCCAAGGAAGAGCAGACTTTTAGATGTCTCTTCGTAGATCATGAAGTGAAACGGATGATCTACTTTGACGATGGGAGGCATCGAGTAGGCAACAATTTCTGACATTGTTCCAGCCGCTGCTTCAGTCCCTCTCTCATTGACTTCAATTACCGTTCTCTGCAAAATCTACCAATGGAAATGAAGTAATATGCAAATAGTAACAAACGAGACACACAGCACCGAGTCGCCCCTGAGGGAAAAGTGTTTCTCCCTTCAATTCTTTTGCTGGTTGCCTTGGAATTTTTCCACCGTGAGTTCAGCCTTATCGTCTTATCACCAGAGGCACTGTATATCCCTCAAAGGTTGGGGCCATAGTCCAAATGAAACTTGAGGAACTTTCTGCTATACCTTGTGAAATCTGGGTTGACTTTAGAATTTCTTAAACTGTAGGCATTTAGCTCAAGGCCAAGAAGGGTGAGGGAAGCCTAACACGAGCTGCTTTCTGGGACCTGGACCAGATCTCAATGGAAAGAACACATTGGAAGAAAGGGAGCAGGTCCCAGCTGACCCTTGATTTGAATCAATACCCTTCAAATCTTCAAAGTTAGCAGGAACTCCTGAGGGTTCAGGGGCCTTACCGGCATCTTACGGCTCCTCTTGAGTAAGTCTCTTAAGGACCTTAGAGATTGAGCAGAGTTACAGATTATCTTATTCAACTCCCTGTCTGAAACTTAAATCCCTGCATAACATCCCAGAGAGGAGTAGCCGTCTAGCCAATCCCCAGAGACCTCCAATAATGGAGAACTCTTTACCTCCAGAGGTAGCCAATTTCATGTATAAACAGCTCTACTTGATAGTAAGTTATTTCTTATATTAAGGTGTAACTACTATCCACTGATACTAGTTGATTATCAATCCAACTCCCCCACCCCAAAGAGAAATATATCCTGGAAATGGAATTGATTTACATAAAATTAAAAATAACTTTAATATTAGTTTAGTTCCAGGGCAGGTATAGACCAGAGCCCTTCTTCTAGTACATACTTGATCCAGACATGCTTGCATTCATGCATGTGTGTATGTATGCCTATCTCGGCTAATTTGATTCCTAGCACGGGGCACCAGAGCCTCCCAATACATTACAATACTATATACATACATAGGCACACATCCGCTCGTTACAAAGTCTCATAACACAAACTCCTTTGCTGTTTAGACCTTACGGACTTTGAAATCCTTCTCTACTGGCTATAATGTAGGCATCTCTACATTGCAGCCACTGAATTTATTTTAACAGATATTTGGTGGAGTTGACAATGTGACACCTGTTCTTCTAACAACTCACAACTTACCTTAGACACTTTCAGATTCCTCGCTGGATCTGAGAGTTCACTCAGATCAGCCCAGGGTGAGAATACCGCTCTTATTCCCATCTGCTTAAGGATGTCTTGTACCTCATACTTCTGATCTAGCTTGAACTTTGGAAAGAAAACGTCCGTTTTTCTATGGCACAAATATACATAATCATGAAAAATAGACACAAGGCATTCTCTTTGGAAGCTAAACATAACCTAGTTTATTATTTAAAAAAGATTTCTGTTGAAGAGGTTATTTCAAATGCTGCTCCTTATTACTAACTGGTCTAATGCCATCAGCTTTAAAAGCATACAATAAAACATAACTTGAGTTTCAATGAGTCAATTATTTGCCTTGAACAAGCCAGGAATACCCTTTACCAAAATTCTACTCAAATGCCTCATTGGGTTATGGAGATGGCTCTGAGTTCTTATCTGTTTTTAAAAGAAGTTTTATTGATTTCTTTGGGGTTTTTTATTCCACAATAATTCCCCATTATGTTGCCCACCACCACCTATGAATGCAGGAGAATGCATTCCTTCCTTAGCTCTCATTTGTTAGAGTCCCTAATGACTTTCCAAGTGCAGCCCAGCTCAAGTGCCAACTCCTGTTCCACCCACTCATTAGTCCTCTCTCCTTCTTGAAATCTCTTTGTATTATTTTGTAATAATAGCTGGCAATTATATTTCACTGTAAGGTTTGCAAAGCATTTCACAAATATTTGATTCTATCCTCATGATAACACTAGGAAGTAGATGCTATTTTTATCCCTGTTTTACAGTTGAGGAAACTGAGGCAAATAGACATTAAATGGCTCATCCAGGGTCACATAGTAAGTATCTGAGGTCAGATTTGAACTCAGGTCTTCCTGACTCCTACACATAAAGGTTCTTTATGTGTAAAATGGAGATATAATAGTTCCTACTTGACAGGGTTTGGTTGTCTAATGAAATAATATAGGCAAAGTGCTTTGCAAACCTTAAGAGTGCTATATAAAAGTTAGCTTTTATTGTCTCCAGGGCCAAGATTTAACCTTGAGTTCTCCAAGGCTATTCCAGCAGGACATAAGCCTCTGGCAGTTCCTAAAAAAAAGTAGAAAAGATTCTGTAGATCTGTGTGTTTACTGTCTAGGACCAGATTTGTTCGGTGAGGGGATGGTAATCGCTAAAACTGGCTCTTAACCTGGGGTCATTGAACTTGGTTTTAGGTTTGTTTGTTTTGTAATTTTGATAACTGCATTTTAGTGTAGTTAGTTTCTTCTTTAATCCTTTGTATTTTATTTTATGAATTTATAGACATTTGTGAGGAGGTAGCTACTGGATAGAGAGGGTGCTGGCCCTGGAGTCAGAAAAACCTGACTTCCAAACTAGCCTCAGATACCTACTAGCTGTGTGACTCTTAACAACTGTTTGCCTCAGTTTCTTCATCTGTAAGATGGGAACATTAATAATACCTACCTCTCAGGGATTGTTAAGAGAATCAAATGAGATAATATTTGCAAAGTGCTTAGCACAGTGCATGGCACACGACAGGAGCTATATAAATATTTATTCATTCCCCCTTCCCCAAGAAAAATTTCAGAGGCTTCATCATCAGAGTGTCACATGTGTTAAAAGGTTGGCTACCACCTAATTAATTTTTTCAGCCACAACATTTCATAAAACTCGCAACTAAGACATCGAAGGATGTGATTGGTGTCAATGAATGGAATGTTTACACTGATGAAATCAGTGATTTCTAGATATGCCTGAAATATTAAGTGACCACATGCCCCACATTGACAGAAGAATGTCACTGTTGTGTCCATCTTTCCCCCTTAAAAGGGAAAGAAAAGGGCACAAATATTTATTAAACACCCATTACGTGCTATGCATTGTGTCAATCACTTTACAAATATAATCTCACTTGATCCCCTAAAAGAACAAGCCATACCCTCCTGACCCCACCTCCCCCATCCCTCTAAATGGCATATTATAATGGAAGGAGGGCAGCAAGGTTGGTATAGTGGCAAGAGCCCTGGCCTGGGAGTCCAAAGACCTGAGGTCAGCTCCTGACTGTCACCAATCTGCTTGGACACATCTCTTCTCCTCTCTGGGCTTCAGTTCACTTCATTTCTCAAATGGAGGGTGGTAGGAAAAGCAGGCTAGATTATCTCCAAGGTTCCTTCCAGCTGTAACAGTCTATTCTTACCATGCAATCATGGCAGTGGTTTATGACAAACCAGTTCTATCCTCTTACTGTCGACTCTGGGACTGGGTGGGCCTTGTCTCAGTTGGTTGGGGCGTGCTTAGAATAGGGTACTTTCGGGGTGACAAATGAAGGAGAAGGCGTGAAATTATCATGGCTGTAGGTTGGGAGGACCCTCTTCTAGAGCCACTTTTGTACCAAATCAGATTCAGAGAATAAGGAGAGAATGGCCCTTAGCAGAGGTAAACCCTTCATCACCTTCTCTCATTCCCATGTCTTTGCTTTGGTTGTCCTCAGTGCTTGGAATTCCTTATATCCCCCTCTTCACCTGTCCTTTAAAGTTAAACTCAACACCACTCCCTCCAGGAAGCCTTTCCTGATCCTTCCTCTTAGTACCTTTTCTCCCTCAGACTTCACATACCACTTTGTTTTGCAACTCACTAACTCATGCCTCTCATTACGGTACATTGTTGTTGTTCCATTGGTATCATACACCTATGAGACTAAACTGGAAGGTTGGGATCATGCTTTTTCTAATCATTGTGAGGCCTACATCAGTGCTTTGCACATAGTAGATACTTATTTTTCTATTGTATTGTAATGAGTAGTACCTGGTTTTCATGTTTCTGATCCATTTGTCCACCAGCTCTACAGTTAAGTAGTCTTCTATGGCAAGGTGATCCCCCATTTTATCCACAAGGACTACTAGCATGCTTGCATTTCCTCGGTAGGGTAATTTGAGGACTTGGCAACGTAAGTTCCTATCAAAGGTTGAAGCAAACTTGTCAGACCTGTACATCATAGGCACTTTTGTAGTTCTATATTTGTCCAGGTGGAAGGTTTCAACTTCAGTGAGAAGAGGGTCAAATGCAGATAGCCATTTACCTAAGGAGGTAAAGAAGGCAAGAAAAATGATGTTGAGAAAACTGCTGACAAAGCCAAGTATTTTTCATGATGAAATCTCCAAAAGTGAGGTGCCCTTGTCCTTCTTTCAACCACCAACATTAGGAAGATATTCTAATTCTACAGAAGATTAATGTCCACAGCAGGATGATGTGATCTCCCCTTATCAAGAAGGAAGAAAACAAGCATTTATTAAGCATCTACTATGTGCTGGGCACTGAGCTGAGTGCTTTACAAATATTATCTCATTTGATCCTCACAACAACTCTAGTAGGTGCTATTATTCCCATTTTCACAGTTGAGGAAATTGAGGCAGAGAAAGGTTAAATGACTTTCCCAGAAGCACAAGCTAGTAAATATCTGAGACCAGATTTGAACTCAGGTCCTCCTGACTCTAGGTCCAGTGCTGTATCCACTGTGCTACTTAACTACCTCCATCAACTAAGCAAATAAACGTCTTCAAGGTCAGGACACTGCTCTCTTCTCCTTTGGTGACAAAGCCTAGGTTTATAGGTTTTATCAAAAGCTAGCAGCAAGAGCTATCTAGAGAGATACTAACACCCATGGTTCGAGTTCTAACTCTTCCACTAGTAGCTGTATGTCTACAGACAAATAACTTCACCTCCCTCCACTCATTTTTAAGAGAAAATTATAATACTTAAACTACCCACCTCACAGGGTGGTTGTGAGGAAAGTTTAAGGTGTAAAGTGCTAGAGAAATGTGAATTATTGTCATTATTTTATGAAACTCCAGAAAATAGAAGGTAAAGTCTTGGCTACCAGAGCTTTTTTGAGCTCCACATGTTGCTGTCTTCCCTATTGCTTGTTGCCCCTTATTTCAGCTATACAATCTTAAATTCAATACTCCTTTAGTCAAATAGCCATTATTAAGTGTCCAATTAGAGAAGGCTGGTTATTATTTAGGGCCTTTGCTTCTTCCCTTTCTGCCTTTTGAGACAATTTGCTGCTTGCCCCTCAGCCTCTCTACAAGGGGAATATTCAGAAAGTTTTATATCTTAAGAGACAAAACACTGTAAGACCAAGTGGGGCAACAGTCATGACGTATTGGCTCTGGAGTCAGACATGGGTCCAAGTCTCCATCCTATTATTTATCATCTGTGAGACCTCAGGCACGCCACTGAATTGAAGCTGAGTTTCTCCATTTAAAAAATAAAATTGTTTCCACCACCTGTCTTACAGAAATGTAATGAGGAAAACACTTTTTAGACTGCTGGGTAGTATAGACATTAGTTTTCTAGCAACTCAGTGCCCCGCACATGGTAGATACTGAATGAACTCTCACAGAATTGAACTAAAACATGAATGATTAGCAAAACATCAGGCCAAGGAATCCCTGGGTATTTCATTCTATCCGTACCGCCACTTATTCCAGGGATTTAGGTCCTGGTCTTTGGCCTCTCTATGGGTGTTAGCATGTTTCACTCATTTAGTCCTCTCCCCAGGGATGGTCAGGTTGGTTCTGGAACAAAGGGTCTCTTCATTGACAGATATCCAAAAAATCAAGAAATGACCTCATAAAACACCAAGGGATATTACTATAATTTATGCAAAGGTAGCAATGCCTTCCCTTGCCTCAGTGTAAGGCCTAGGCAGGAATAGCTGCTAAACCTATATGCAGCCTTCATTGTGTACATGATTCAGAATTGATTGAATATGAATGAAAAGGAGGAAAAGAAGACAAAAAGGTATTTTTCTTAGGAAGAATGTATCATTATTAAGTAATACCAGATACATACCACTAAATAGAATGTAATCCACAAGAATTAATTTAGCTTCAGGATTAATCTGATCAAAGAGTTTGGGAATTTTCCCCTTGGTCTCCTTGTCCACATAATGATTCATGAAACTCTTGGCCTGTGTAGCATTGTGGAAATTCACAGGTACATACTCCATGTCAAAATACTGCTTGGACAAATTGAAGAAAGTCTCTTTGACATCAAAATCCTTGTGGATAAAGGCAAAACTCCCTTTCAATAAAGCCAGCTCCTGGTTTTGGGAGATCTGATCTTTGAGCTCCTTGAAGAGAGAAGGCAAGAAAGTTGTCTCTGAACTGCTTAGATCCTGCAAATTGAGGCCCTCTATGATCTGGGATCGGGTCTGCCCTCTGGCTGCCAGCAATAAAGTAGTCATTGCAAAGGAAAGGCAGAAAGGAGAGAAAACTATGTTGCCGTCATGTTTCATAGCGATTTTTCGGAACAGGTTGAACCCAAAGTTGGCGTTCTTTTCTAAGAGTTTCCACCTATCTAATGTTGGCCAGGGCTCCTCCTCGGGTGATGTCATGGCATCTTTCCTCTGAGGATGTTGTATGTCTCCATCCATTTGGCTGTGGTTGAGGAAAGTGTGGTTCTCCAAAACCTCCAGGTGGGTTTCCATCTTCCCTGGTTCCCAGTCTTTAGCAGTGCCCAATACCATCCATACTTCCAAGAAGAAGAGGATGAGGCAGAAGGCTGTTTTCATAGTGTTGGTTTTGGAGGCCGAGTGAGTGTAGTTCTGAGCAAGCAAAATTTAGATAAAGAGAGAAAAAAAATGTTTTTAAAGTCATTCACTTAAAGAATTCTTTATCTCTTGCTAAGGTGAGTTACTGTTTAGGAAGTTGAACCTTGTTCTACTTTGGGGAGAAATCACTTAAGGTCACAGGATTTGGAACTGAAAAGGAATTTACAGATCATTTAGCCCAGAGGTGACAAACACAGGGTAGGTAGGCCCCATGCAGCAGCAACACTACTGAGTGCTTGATAACCAGATTAAAACGTAATTGGGAAATATTTAACTACATAAAAATGCAATAGAACTTAGATAATGTTAATATGTGCTTTTCTAATTCAATAGGTGACCATCAGAGATCCATACGTATGGTTTAACGACCCCCATTTCCAATTTGACACCACTGATCTAGCCCATCCCTTCCGTCTTGTGGACGATGAACCCGAAGCCCAGGAGAAGCGGAACAACTTGTTCAAGGTTATGCAGGCAGTAAGTAGCACGAGCCAGGAATCAAACTCAGTTCCTCTGAGCCCAACCCCAGGCATCTATTTAACAGACCAGGCTCTCTCCCATGTGGAGTAAAAACATCTGGTAGATTTTAATTGGTTTCACTGTTGTTGTTTGTTGTTGTTGTTGAGTCATTTTTCAGTCATGTCTGACTCTTCATGACCCCAGTTGAGGTTTTCTTGGAAAAGATACTGGAGTGGTTTGCCATTTCCTTCTCCAGTTCATTTTACACATGAGGAAACTGAGACAAACAGGATTAAGGGTCACATAGCTAGTAAGTATCTAAGGCCAGATTTGAACTCAGGAAGACTCCAGGTCCATGTTGCCATCTTAATTGTTATAAACAGCAAAACTTTGATGAACCAGAATCCAACTTACCAGAATTCCCAAATAACTAAATTTTTGTTTTGACCTCCTTGAAGAAAATGAGGCAGCCATGGTGTTGTAAGAAGCACAATGGACTAAGAAGTAAGAAAGAGACATAGGGTCTCAGCCTGGCTCTGCTATTCACTGTATATGTGGCCTTAACTGAGAAGGGACAGAAGTCAGGTAGTGCAAGGGAAAGGAAGCAAAGACAGTGATTGGAGATGACATTTTCTAGGAGTTTATCATGAGATAGATAGTGGGGCTGGATAGCTCACGTGAGTGTTTTTTAAGGAGGGAAGAGACCTGGGCATACTTACAGACAGTAGGGCATGTGGCAGTTGATAGGGAAAAATTGAAAATAAGTGAGATAAAGGGAGACAGAGGACACAATGTGGCAGAGAAGACAAGATGGAATAAGTTCACTTGTGCCCATAGAAGAATTTGCCCTGCCAAGGAGAAGGGCCACCTCTTCATGTAAGACTAATAATAACTAGCATTTACATAGCACTTTAAGGTTTACAAAACACTTTATAAATACTATCCCGTTTGATCCTCACAATAGTCCTGGGAGGTAGGTGCTATGTTACCCCCATTTTCCAGGTGAGGAAACTAGGGTAGACAGAGATTAAGTGACTTGCCCAGGGTTACACAGCTAGTAAGTGTCTGAGGCAGGCTTTAAACTCAAGTCAATTGCCTGTAGTGGAATTGGAGTCAGGAAGGTCTGGGTTTGAATTCTGCCTCTGGCACTTTCTAATCATGTGACCTTGAGCAAAATCATTTAACTTCCAGCCTCAGTTTCCTTACCTGTAAGTTGGTGATAATAAATCCATATCACTTACCTCCCAGGGTTGTAAAGATCAAATGAGATCATGTAGTAAAGACCACTTAAAAAAAACCAAAGAATTATGAAATGTGAGTTATTATTTTTATTATTGTTGTTGTTGTTATTGTCATATGGAATGGGGAGGAAACTTGTTCTGTTAGGCCACTAGGGGATAGACATAGGAGCAATGGGTAGAATTCAAAGGGATGTCTTTCTGACTTAGAGGAAAGAAAAGCTTCCTAATGACTTGGAGCTGTCCCACAATAGAATTCCCTTTGTCATGGGGAATATAAGTTCCTTATCCCTGAAAGTGTTTAAAGAGAGATTTGTGATATTGAAGACAGGATTCACAATTTGGAATGAGGATTGGATTAGATGGCCCTTGAGAGCCCTTGAGATTCTAAAATTCTGTGATTCTAAGCGTTGTTCTAAGGAAAGTGCTTTGCAACTATAATAGCTGTGTGCTGTGGGTTGTTGTTATTTGGAGGTTTTTTGGGGGGGGGGCAGGATTCATTATTTCATATGGGAATCTCCTACTGTGGAAATTTCCCACCAAGAAAGATCAACAACTCCCCTGTAACTTACAGTCTTAGAGTTTCCTGGGGCAATGAGAAGTTTCCCGGGGTCACACTGAGTCACTATGTGTCTGCAACAGCAGAACTTGAACCCAAGTCTTCCTGACTCCTAGGCTGACCAAACCCATTCTGTCTCTTAACAAACGTTACTACTAATGCTAATAAAAATAATAAAATCTACAAAAATAAAGTCCCACTCATAAAAACTTGGAAAGACTTACATGAACTGATGCAAAGTAAAGTGAGCAGAACCAGGAGAAAGTTGTCCACAGTAATAGCAATATTGGGGGATGATCCACTGTGGATGACTTAGCTCTCTTCTGAGCAAGATAGTGATCTAAAACACGTCCGAAGACTTAGGATGAAAAATGCTAATCCTCCACAGAAAGAACTGATGGAGTCTGGAGGCAGATCGAGGTTCTTGAAGATTATGACAGCAGAGAACAAGATTGGACAGGCTTTGAATATGATGAACCAAATGTTTGTTGTCTGAGGACCAACCTAAGTAAATTGTGACATGGTAAATGGTTTAGCCACAGTAACTTTTAGTAACTCTGCCAGATTGGAGAGGGCTGGTAATCTGTGTCAGTGAAGGCAGTACTCATATCAAGGACATTATGGATACTTGAGGTATTGAAGTATGAATATCACAACCAAACAAGTTGGTAGCTGTAACTAAACTTTAAGAACACACACAAGGTTTCCCAGAATATGTTGGGGACTAAGTCTTGTTTCATCTACACCAACTACAATACAGTGAGAATCTTTATAATGACGACACCAAGGCCCAGTCACTAAAAAGAGATTCAATTATATTCAACTCCATTGTTGCTCAGTCATGTCATCATGACCCCAGTTGGAGGAAGGAAAGGTTTGCCATTTCCTTCAGCTCATTTTACAGATGAGGGAACTGAAGCAAACAGGGTTAAGTGACTGGCCCAGGGTCACACAGCTAGTATATGTCTGAGGCTGGGATTTGAACTCAGGTCTTCCTGACTTCAAGCCCAGTGCTTTATCCACTGTGCCTCTTAGCTGCCTGTCAACTCCATTAACTAGACTGCATTTGACTAAAGGGAAAAAAAGGCTCAAATATTTTAGGAAGATTCACATCAACTCTCAGTCAACCAGAAAATCTAGTCAAACAGCACGCTATTTTATGTGTCCTGGTAAATTTCAAAGTAATGTCAGTACTGGCCCATTAGTGAATCTATCCAACCCAATAAAACATCTAAATCTATGTTTCTGAAACCTAGAAATCTTGCCATCCCTTGGTTTACAATATCCCATATTCCCCTTCCACTAGAAAGAAAAACTCTGCTGTATTGAGTTATGAACACCACAACCAAATAGATGTTGGGGAGGGGGGGTATATTATAACTCCATCCACTGTTTCATAATCCCAGCAGATCAATGCAGGAGGATCTGGGGAGAGCACATTGAAATGGGAGCCAGGAGACTGGTTCTAACATAAATTTGCCTTCTGGGTTTCAACTTATTTCTTTCTCAAAGTCAATTTCTCCGTCTTTAAATGAAAGAATTGGACTAAATAATCTCTGCAGCCCTTCTAAGTGTTCTAATAATAACTGGCTTAGGTGATGGTCATAGGCAATGGGGAATGCTATAAACATAGGGCATTTTAAGGTTTGCAAAACATACAACATCTAATTTGAGCCTGACAATCCTGTAAGGGATGTGTTAGGCATAAATATCCCCATTATATAGACGGGAAAACTGAAGCTTAGCAATATTAAATGGCTTGCCAGTAGTCACACCTCTAGCAAGTGTGAGAGGCAGGATTCGGACTCACCCAAATCTTCCTGACTTTGATTTCAACACTTGTTAGCTTCATTGTCTTTTCTAATAAGCTAAGTTTCCTTCCAGTTTTTACCTTCAACATTCTATGTTCTATGGTCCCTCCCCTTTCTAAAGTCATGAATCAGAGAGTTAGGTTGCTGTGTCCAAAGAGTTCACAATTTATTGCCGCCACTATTGAAAAGGTCAGGAGATCTAGGCTTCAACAACCCTCTTTGGACTCTGCTATAGGCCTTCCAGCCTCATCCCCTGTACCCCACTCCCAACCCTGAGAAAACCTGACAGAGATCTGCATAATTACTTTCTATGCCCCAGCTAAACCCAAGACTATTTGTAATTTCTAACTGCAAAATCTGCCACAGATTTGTGAGACTAAAGATGAGTGACAGGGCAGCTAGATGGCACGGTGGCATGGAATCAGGAATACTCATCTTCCTGAGTTACAATCTGACTTCAGACACTTATTAGCTGTGTGACCCTGGGTAAGTCGCTTAACCCTGTTTGCCTCAGTTTTCTCATCTGTTAGGTGAGCTGGAGAAAGAAATGGCAAACCACTCCAGCATCTTTGCCAAGAAAATCCCAAATGGGGTCGCAAAGAGTCAGATACAACTGAAACAACTCAACAACAAAAAAGACAAGTGACAGGTTGTGGTTACTGAAATTTATGTTGATTCAGTGAGCCAATGTTCCCAGCCCTGCTTATCTGTCAGTGTTGGGGGAGGTTCCATTGTGGGAAGGCGACACCAAGTCTGCAGCTTTTTGCATTCCCTGCTCTTTGTCACATCCCCCTTCCTGTGATGTTTGTACCCCTGCCTACAAATTGTCCTGCGCTTGCTACTTTTGGGAAGAACTGGTTACAAGGGCCCAACCCCTTTTACTGAAGTGGACATATCTGAATTGTCTTTACCTCATTATGAAAGTTTCCAGTAAAAGTCACCCATCTTGAAGCCATTTGCTGATCTGCATTGATCAGTCCATCAACATGTTGCTGCTTTGAAGTACTTGTAATAAATTCCTTTTAATTCTTGTAGTCCTGAGTTTTGCCTCATTAATTAGCATAAAAGCCCCAAAAAAGGATTTTCCTTTCAACGGTGGTCTTCACTATATTTACATACATCCAGCAGAACCTAAGGTCAAATTATGAGGGCATCAGAATTTTAGTCCCCTTTAGGCTCTTTCTTCCCTCTTTTTAATGACTGCCTTCCTCAAGTCAAGGCCCCCAGGCTGTCTTCTGTCTAGCCTGGCCCTCCCCATAGCAGTAGCCAGAACTTGTCCATACTCAAGATGCCTCCCTTCATCTCAAAACATAGACCTTTTCCCCTCTGGATCCTGGATAGGTGAATGGCCCATCTGATAAACTTCTCAGACTTAAGATTTTAATGGATGATAGCAGCTCGAGCTCAAAGCTTAGCATTGAAAAGCCTAAGATCGTGGCAACTGGTCCCATCACTTCCTGGCAAACAGAGGGAGAAGAAATGGAAGCAGTGTCAGATTTTATATTCTTGGGCTCAAAGATCACTGCAGATGGTGACTGCAGCCATGAAATTAAAAGACGCTCCCCCCTTGGAAGGAAAGCTATGGCAAATCTGGACAGCGTACTAAAAACCAGACATCACCTTGCCAGCAAAGCTCTGTATGGTCAAAGCTATGGCTTTTTCCAGTAGTGATATATAGCTGTAAGAGTTGAATTGTAAGGGAAGTTGAGCTCCACACAATCAACATTTTTGAAATCTGGTGCTCGAGACGATTTTTGAGAGTCCCTTGGACAGCAAGGAGATTAAATCAGTCAATAGTTAAAGAAATTAATACAGGCTATTCACTGGAAGGTCAGATACTAACAGCGAAGCCTAAAGACTTTGGCCACATAATGACAAGATGGGGCTCATTGGAAAAGACCCTAATGTTGGGAAAGATTGAAGGCAAAAGGAAAAGGGGACGGCAGAGGATAAGATGGATAGATAGTGTCATGGAAACATGAACATGAACTTGAATAGATTTCAAGAGATAATGGAGGATAGAAGGACCTGGCATGCTATGGTCCATGGGGTCACAAGGAGTCGGACAGAATGAATGACTGAATGACAATAATAAAAAGTGGCTCAATGTGGTCCCTCTCCCTGATAGGGAGGAAGCAAATATAGTTTAGTGAAAAGAGCATTGGATGAGACTCAGGAGACAAGATCAGGTTGTTACTAATAGTGTGACCACAGGCAAGTAGTTTATTCTTTCTGTCTCAGTCTATTTCCACATCTGTAAAATAAGGTCTTCATAGTGCCTACCTCCAGTGAAATTTTGTATCTAAAGTTCTTTTAAAGTCCTAAAGTACAATTATTATTTGCAAACTGCAACATCTTATACGGATGTAAGAGTTCATCATTCCAGGTAATATTTGTATTTTAACAGGGATGTTTTGCTTTACAGATACTGGGCAAGTCATTTAATGCTGTTGACCTTAGTTTCCTTATCTGTAAAATGAGCTGGAGAAGGAAATGGCAAACCACTTGAGTATCTAGGGCAAGAAAACCCCAAATGGGGTCATGAAGGGTTAAACAAGACTAAAAAACAACTGAACAACAACAACTTTGCTTTACAAAAAAAAGAAGAGAACCTGGGCATTCCAGGTCCTGAAGCAGCCTATTTGAGAGAAAAAGATATGGATTTCCCTCATATCACACACAAATGCAGTGTGATTCCTATACCTATGGTATGTGGACTCACCTAGAAAATTTTGGGACTGGGGTGGGGCAGAAATGCCTGCTATAGCTCAGCCTCACTGCAACATCAGTTGAGCCCAGGGGGCCAATTTTCTCATACGCCAGGATTTATAAAGTTATTCCTTTCGAGAACCAAATAGTACTCCAATATGCACAGCATTTACTAAGTTATGTGCAAGGGCACATGTAAGAAATGTGCAAAGGGCAGCTAAATGGCACAATGGACAGAGCACTGGCCTCAGGAGGACGTGAGTTCAAATGTGACCTCAGATGCTTACCATCTGTGTGCCTCTGGGCAAGTCATTTAACCCTAATTGCCTCAAAAAAAAAAAAAGGAAAAGAAAGGAAAGAAAAGAAAGAAATGTGCAGTACTTAGTAAGTGTGTGTATGTGGGTAGGGAGCAGGATCTAGCCCTATGAAGTCATCAGTGTAGGAAATTCCTGATGTGGAAACATCTTTCCAAGTGTGCAAACTAGTAACTCACCTGTAACTTAAAGTCTTAGGAGGGTCGCCTGGGGGCACTGAGGGGTGAAATATCATAACATCATAGATGATGCGAGAGCTGGAAACGGGACTCATAGATCATTTAGTCTAACCCTCTATTATACAAAGGAGAAAACTGAGCCGCGGACAAGTCACCTGGTAAATGACAGAGCCACGTCTCAACCTGAGATCCTCTTATCCAAATCTGGTCCTCGCCATTGTACCACAGCTGATAGGTTAGAAGCAGAATTTGAACCCAGGTCCTCCTGATTCTAGGACCAGCCCTCTATTCACTAGATCAGGCTGCCTCTCAAAATTTAGTTAGTTACTCCTTTGCATAATACTCCATTACTTAAATGTAAGATAGAGATAATAATACCTGACATACTAACTTCAAAGGGTTGTTGGGAGGGTCAAATTAATGCAAGTTATTATTCAACAAATAACTTCTTTAGCATTCTAAATGAATTCACAAAATTCATGGCTACTCTTCTTTATTACCATTTGGAAGAAGTAACTTACCAGGCAGCTTGGCACAGTGAATAGAGAGGCAGCCTTGGAGTCAAAAGACCTGGGTTCAAGTTCTACTTCAGTCATATACTGACTATGTAAACATAGGTAAGTCACTTAACTCCTCAGCGATCCCAAGAAATTCTCTAAGACAATAAGTTGCAGAGAAGTCACCGATCTACATTAGCAGAGGGAGTTTTCTCACTGAGAGTGAGATGTGCCAGGCACCGTGCTAGGTATTAGGGAATCAGAGAAAGGCAAAAATAATTCCAGCTCTCCAGGAACTCACAGTCTAATGGAGAAGTTCACACAGTCTAATGAAATCATAGGAGAAAGGAAGGAAGGAAGGAAAGAAGGAAGGGAGAGAGAGGGGAAGAGAGGAGGATAGGGAGGAAAGAAGGAAGGAAGGAAAGAAGAGAGAAGGAAAGAAGAGAGAAAAGAAGGAAGAAGAAAAAAGTTATTAAGTAACACCTGTGGATCAGAAAGGATTACTCTTTACACTCTAACGCCTAGTTTAAAACTCTAGGTGAATTTGCCTTATTGTGTTTGAGGTGTCTTCATTCTTGAAACTCTCTCCCTCCCTCCCTCCCTCCCTCCTTCCCTCCTTCCCTCCCTCCCTTCCCCTCTCTCCTTCCCTCTCTCTCTCTTTCTCTCTCAGTCTCTGTCTCTCTTTTTTAGCTATACTTCAGATTTGAGGCTAGTAAATAGACCGACGGAAAGGCAACATGGCATAATCAACAGTTAGCTTTCGAGTCAGGAAGACCTGAGCTCCAGTGTTGCCTCTGACACGCGCTAGTTATGTGACCATGAGCAATTCCCTGAGTTACTAAGGCTTTAGAAGATAGAGGAGTAGTGAATCTACACCTGGGAGAGATTTTTCCACACTGAGAGTTCCCTGTACTGATGAAGTCACAGATCCAGCCAGACCCTTTCCTCTAAAGCCACCAAAATTGAGATGCTATATACTGTTCTGGTTGGTGGATGGTGTCCATGCAAAGGCTTAAAGGTCCCCTTCCTTCCCCTGAGCTCACTCACCACCCACGCTCTTCCAGGAGGCTTACATTTGCTTAAAGGACTTTTCTATTCTTCTTTAAGACTCTAATCTTGTTTAGATTCTCTAATTATGAAAAATCTGGAGGTTGGGAGCTCTGTTTGGAAGGGTGCCTAGCTGACCAAAAGGAGATCTTTCCTCAAAAAAAAAAAAATCGGATTCCCAGAAGAGATCAGAGAGCCTCTCCCATAGCTATCCCCAGTCATATGAGACAGGGACTTTCTCACCCCTTCACCCCCGCCCCCCATATAAACATTTAAAAATTCTTTCTTGAAACAGCAAGATCTTACCAACACAGTGGTTCCACTGTCACCCTGCTGATGGTCTTCCATTCAAAATAAAGTTGAAAGGTTAAGGTTTGAGGCTGAAAACTTTCAACAAATATTTGCTATTCCAAAGTGTGGGGATCTGATTGGGCTGTTACTAATTAACTTCCGGGATGAGTGCAGAAAAATTGGAGGCCAGGGGCAGGACTGATCTCATATGTGTGAACCAGGCCATCCCGGGCTTCTGCAGTACACTGACATTTCCCAGAGCCAAGAAACCTTCCCCACCCAAATCCTCCCAAGTTTGCTAGCAAGGGCCTGAAATTGTACCATGAGCACTATTCCTTTAGGTTAAAATTCTAAACCTTATTAGAATGTAAAGTGTGCTGAGGCTGGAGCAGGGATACTTTTAGATGCTATTAGATGATATTTCAACTGCAAGGAAACACCCTCACTTTATACGTGAAGAAACTGGGGCCCAGACAGTGATTTGCCTGTCATTTGTTGTTGTTGTTGAATTGTTTTCAGTTATCTCCAACTCTTCATGACCCCATTTGGGGCTTTTTTTGGCAAAGATACTGAAATGGTTTGCCATTTCCTTCTCTAGCTCATTTTACAGATGAGGAAACTGAGGCAAACCAGGTTAAGTGACTTGACTAGGGTCACAGCTGGTAAGTGTCTGATGCCAGATTTAAACTCAGGAAGAGGAGTCTCCTTGACTCTAGGCCTAGTTCTCTATCCACTGTGCCACCTAGCTGCCTGTCATTACATAGATAATAAATAATACTGCTGGAATTCAGACCTGGGTCCTCTACATCCAGTTCTAGGTTTCTCTTCATTATACTATGATACTTCTCCAAAGGGTGTGGGGCAACAGATAGAGAAAAAGGAAAGCTTTTGAGGAAAGAAAAAGGAGGCTGAGGAAATTCCGAAGAAAAACTCCATGATTTTTCTAAAGGATTCTGGATCATAAAATCTTGGACACATGGATTATTAGTGTTATAAAGGACCTCAGAGATCATCTAACCCAACACCAGTTTGACAGAGGGAAACAGAGGCTCAGGAAGGTGTGGTTTGCTTCACTTATTCTTAAGAGACTAGACTTGAGTCTAGGAGTGGGAAACCTGCAGCCTCGAGGCCACATGCGGCCCTCTAGATCCTCAAGTGTGGTCCTTGGATTCAGTCAAAAGGCTGCATGTGTGGACCTAGAGGGCTGCATGCGACCTTAAGGATCCAGGTTCCCTACCCCGGAAAGAATGAGGGATAATGAAGAGGGGCTTTGAAATGTGATGAGTGTAAGCATGTTAATGCTCAGTGACCTGTCTTCCTAAAATAGAGGGGTAAGGTCCTCTGCCAAGAAGAATCATAGGAGCAGAGATATGAAACTGGAAAAATCTCAGAGACTGACCAGCTAGTCTAATCCACCCATTTCACAGATGAGGAAACTGAGGTACAGGGAGGTTGACATTTTTTGCAGAAGAGGAAAGTGAGGTTCAAAGAGGTTAACAGGTTTTACAGATGAGGAAATGATGCCTAAACTCACACAGATTGTAAGATCACTGGTGGAATTTGAACCCTTGTCCTCTGTCTGAAGAGCCAGTGTTCTTTCCACTATGAGGAAGAAGAGGTGGTATAGTGAGTATGAGGAGAAAGATTCGGAAAAGCTGTTCAGGCGAGTGTGACTGAAAATCAATCAACAGAAGAATAAGAAGATTACCGTGTAGCCGAGATGGACAGACTGAGATTAGACGGCATAAATTCAGAGGGAACCCCGTTACGTGGCAATACAACTTTCTCCTGGTACATTCAGTAGCATGTCAATAAAAACAGAAAAGCCAAAAGTGGGAATAACCCAGGTTGGAGTCTGGCATCATGTGACTAGAGATAGGCCCAGGGGCCAAGAGATTGACGAGGAGCTGAGAGTGTATAATTGAATTTATGATCCAGACCATTGGAGGCAGGAAAGTGAAAACAGAGCAAATGTCATAGACTGTGGGGACAGGTTGGTGAGGGGGCTGATGGTCCTAGAGAGGATAAAGGACCCTTAGAAGAGAGAAGATGAAGCAGATGTTGAAAAATAGGAGACTGTGGTTAGAGAGAAATTTCAGAATCATAAATCATGGAGGCTGCACAATTATAAACAACGAAGAGATCAAGCAATGACTAATCATGTGTGCATATGGGTGTGTGTGTGTGTGTGTGTGTGTGAGTGTGAGTGTGAGTGTGTGTGTGTGTGTGTGTGTAAGCTGAGGTCAAATGCAGACGATGATCTTGGGAGTCTAGTAAGTTGATGAGCTGGGGGGGTGAGAGAATTAAGAGGACATCAGTAGTAGATGCTTAGTAATAGTAGATGCTTAATAAATATTGATTGGTTCATTGATTGATTCACGTACATTGAAATCCAAAAGTATGATGGGAGGAGGGTGGAGAGGAAGACAGTGGGGCCTCCTGTATCAAACTCTTTGAGAGCTGGGCTACCACCAGTCATCTTGACCTGTGTCTTACCACTGGACTCAGACGACTCTGGAAGAGAGAGAGAAGCTGATGACTTTGTGCAGCTCTGCCTCACTTAAATCTGATCCACTCGCAAGTCAAGACACCCTCATGATGTCACTGATCCTCTTTGAGAATGAAGGACAAACAACAACAAAACTCTGAGAAAGGAAGGTGGACGGGGCAGTGGATAGAGCACTGGCCCTGAAGTCAGGAGGACCTGAGTTCAAATCCGACCTCAGACCAAACACTTGACACGTACTAGCTGTGTGACCCTGGGCAAGTTCCTTAACCCCAATTGCCTAATAAAAAAAAAAAGAGAGAAAGGAAGGTGGGTGACTTGAAGGTCAGATGATTGTGCTGGAATGGGGGATCACAGGGTCATAGATTTAGAGCTAGAAGGGAGCTTAGAAGCATTTTACAGGTAAGGAAACTGAGGCTGAAGAAAGTTAAGTATCTTGCCCAAAGACATATACCTAATAAGTACCAAAGGCAGGATTTGAACTCAGGCTTAATCAGGGCCAAGCTCAATGCTTCATCCAACCAAGTTGCCTTTGGTTAGAAAGAACCTCTGCCTCCTCCCACCCCAAAAGGGAGGTTGCTGAGTGATGACCATTAAGGAACAGCCTAGAATAGCGGTGGGGAACCTGCAGCCTTGAGGCCACATGTGGCCCTCTAGGTCCTCAAGTGTAGCCCTTTGACTGAATCCAAACTTCACAAAATAAATCCTTCTAGCCACCATGCCCCTCCAGGTACTGCCCTTCCTATTTCCCACGCTTTTTTTGGTGCATGCATTGCATTATTAGTATCCCTTAATTATTTTACTTTATTATAAGAAACCTCTCACAAACTAAGAATAATCTATAAACGTTTGTAATGTAAGAATAAAGCTAATCAGAAAACTTTTTTAAATTAAAAAACAAAAGGAAGATCATCAGGTACAGAGATTTCAGGTCAAATTTGAATTGCAGTTTTTAAGCAGAGAAAGAGAGACATGCATCTAACTTGGAACCTAGGGGCTGTTTCCCCACCCCAACCCCACTGAATCTGCCATTTAAGTCCCTCGGGACCATTTGTGCCACAGCATACATAACTGGCAGAAGGACGGGTAGGTGGTGCAGTGGATGGAATGTTGGCCCTGGAGTCAGGAGGACCTGCATTCAGATCCAGCCTCAGACACTTATTAGCTGTGGGACCCTGGCAAGTCACATAACCCTGTTTGCCTCAGTTTCCTCATCTGTAAAATGATCTGGAGAAAGAAATGGCAAACCACTCCAGTATCTCTGCCAAGAATACCCCAAATGGGGTCATAAAGAGTCAGACACAACTGAAATGACTGAACAACGATCTGGCAGAAGCTTTCAGAAGCAGTGTTCTTTACATTCGTCAACACAAACCCCAAAGCCACAGGAAATCAGAGCCGAAAGGGTATTAGATGCTGAGAACAAAGAATGTCAGAGCTGGAAGAGCATTTGGACAAACTTAGAATCATAGAACCCTAGCAAAGTGTCTTTGCACATATACTGAGAAACAGAAAAGGGCCGGCCTGTGAAGGTGGTTCCCAGGAAGGGACTTCCTCTTCCAACATGGGTCATCACCTTCTCTGCGAATTATAGAGCTCCTCCTTCCCCTTTTAGAAATATTAAGAAAGCATTTAAAAATGATCCTAGACTTAAAATGCAGAATGGGACATACATTTTTACATGGTTAATGAAGGGGTTTGTTTGCTTGAATATGCATATTTGCTATAAGGGCTTCATTTTTTTCTTTTCTTTTCCCATTGGGTTGGGGGAGATGGGAGGAAGAGAAAATAAGTCGTTGTTAATTTTTTTTAATAAGATTTCAAAGTATCCTAATCTGAAGCCTCTGGAGTAATCTGAGAGAGAAACTTTATCAATGTTTAAAACAAAGGCTAGCTCCACCTTCTCTCTAATTGATCCCTCCCTTGAAATAATTAGGGTGGTGATTAGGCAAGGGGAAAAGAAAGGAACAAACATTTATTAAGCTCCTACTATGTGCCAGGAGTTTTGCAATTATTATCTTATTTTATCTTTACATTAACCCTGGAAAGTGCATGCTCTAATTATCCCCATTTTACAGCTGAGAAAACTAAAGCAGAAGTTTAGTGATACCCAGAGCCATACTGCTATTAAGTGTCTGAGGTCAAATTTGAACTCAGGTCTTCCTGATCCTATACCTAGCACTCCTACATGTTGCATCACCAAGGTGCCTCAAAGGACAAAGAGCCTATTTTTGATCTACTTTCTCCATGCCCTGAAGGGTAATGACACACCTAAAAGAAGGAAGAAGTATCTTTGCTACTTTAGTTAATGGAAGGTAGGGCTATATTGGCCAGCTGGAAAGGAGGATGCTCTAAGTGAGTGATCAGAAAAGGACTGAGTGATTTCAGGAAAATGACTTTGCAAGAGTGGGCTGAAAATTAAGTGACTACTGTTCCATTTAATGAAGCGAACTTTTAACTGAACTATTTCCTAAACTCTAAGCTCTGGCTTAGAAGGCTTTTACTGTGAAATATTCCTTGTTCAACAGTCCTACAAATTGGGACTTGAAAATGACTTGTGAGAGAGAGATGTCCAAGGGCATGCCAGTTTGTTCATCTTTCTCTCTAAACAGAACAACGTTTGAATTAGAATAATGATAAATTAATTGAGATGATTTCTGGTAGATTTGTACCTACAATACAGAATACAGCATTAATTTTTCTTTAACAAGTCTTAGAAAGGTGCCCAGAGCACTGAGAAGTGGCTTGCCCATGGTCGTACAACCCATATGTGTCAAAGGCAAGACTTGAAATCAGATTCTCCTGGGTCTGAAGTGAGCTCTCTATCCACTAGCATACGCTGCCTCCTGCTAACTAAAGCAAAAATGAGAGAGAAAAATCAAATCTTTTTCCAAACTTGCTATGTTATGAGATCACAGACTTAGAGCTGAAACATACCTTAGAGACCAGAATAATTAATCATTGCTAGATTTTATTAGCGGTGTTTTGGGCAGCGAGGTGGCACAGTGGCTAGCGCTGGGCCTGGAGTTCAAGTCTGGCCTCCGACACTTATAAACTGTGTGACCCTGGGCAAGCCACTTCACCCTGTTTGCCTCAGTTTCCTCATCTGTAAAATGAGTTGGAGAAGGAAATGGCAAACCACTTCAGGATCATTGCCAAGAAAACTCCAAATGGGGTCACGAAGAGTCAGACACAGCCATAGTGCTTTAAGATTTGCAAAGTTCTTTACAAAAATTAACTTATTTGCTACCATAGTGGAATTTTGAGGGGACTCAAGAGGGTCAATACTCACCAATTTGAGTTCTTGAAATCAGAATCAGATAACAGCAGTAAGGAGTCAACTAAGAGTGAAGCAAGAAGTCATTTATTCCTGCCAGCCTGCGTAGATACCAAGATGGAAAGCATCTACAATGAGCCTAATCTAAGAGGTTCCTTATAGACATCCTTTTAGGGCAGCATTCATAAGATAAGCACTATTCAAAGTACATTGTGTGAAACAAAGAAAAGAAAGAGGACTGTTCATCAAACAGAGGCGGTTATGCAAAAAGAATAGCACACTTGCAAAATGTGTATCATTAATTATAAGAGAGAGAGAAGGTAGATATGGCTGAGTCCAGCGGGTCTTACTAAATCAAAGAAATCTGCCCATGGGACTAGACCAGGAGGAGAACTTTCCCAGGGCTCTGGAATCCTTCCCCTTCAGTAGCTAAGTCTTTTTGTATCCATAAGAGGCAAAAAGGAGAGGCACAGAAGGCTGTTACAGCTGGTGTTGAGTTTACAAAGAGTCATTTATGGCAAAACGACTGATACAGAACAGGATGGAGTCCACATGCCTTAGAGCAAGGCTGTTTCTAAGGAGGGGAGGGTATATGTGTTCCACAAACATGTCAAGGAAGTTCATGGGGCAATACCAGGGGGATTGGTAAGGGATATTAGGGCATCGGAGGTGAGGAGGCTCACTGGAAGCTGCCCTGCTAAAGTCAGTCTCTGGAGTTCATCTGGCAGAGGAGGCAGGTAATTTTGTCCACTTCTCCCACAGCACTTGAAACTACCTTGGGAGGTAGCTGTTATTATATTTTCTCCATTATTTTTTTTTTTTTAGGCAATTGGGGTTAAGTGACTTGCCCAGGGTCACACAGCTGGTAAGTGTCAAGTGTTTGGTCTGAGATCAGATTTGAACTCAGGTCCTCCTGACTTCAGGGCTGGTGCTCTATCTACTGTGCCACCTAGCTGCCCCGAGTTTCTCCATTTTGCACTAAGACTGAGAGAGAGGTCAATGTGGGAGGCAGGATTTGAACTCAGAATTTCCTGACATCAAGTCCAGTACTCCATCTACTGTGCCGTCCAGTTCAACCTCCTCCCAATCTGAAACCTCTAGATCAGGGGTGGGGAACCTGTGACCTCAAGGCTACATGTGGCCTTCTAGGTCCTTGAGTGTGGCCTGTTGACTGAGCCCAAGTTTTACAGAACAAATCTTTTTATTAAGTGGATTTGTTTTGTGAAGTTTGTGAAGTCAAAGGGCCATACTTGAGGACCTAGAGGGCCACATGTGGCCTTGAGGCCACAGGTTCCCCACCCCTACTCTAGATTAATGTAAGAGAGAAACCTTGTCAGCCTTTCACAATCAATATTTAAGAAAATGTCTTGCACCACCCGTCCCCCCTTACACACACACCTCTGATTGACTACTCCCTTGAAATAATTGGGGTAATAATTAGACAAGGAGGAAGGGAACAAATATTTATGAAGTTCCTACTGTGTGCTGGGTGCTTTGCAATTATTATCTCATTTTATCCTCAAAATAACCCTGAAAAGTAGATGCTCAAATTGTCCCCATTTTACAGTTGAGGAAACTGAGGCAGGCAGAAGTTTAGTGACTTGCCCAGAGCCACATAGCTATTAAGTGTTAGATCAAATCTGAACTCAGGTCTTCTTGTTACTTAACCCGGTGCTCTATCCATTGCATCGCTGAGTCAAAGAGAGATTGAGTCACTTGCCCAGGACTATATAGGTAGTAAATGTTTTTGGCAGGGTTTGAACCTAGGTCTTCCTGACTCCAGACCCAGCACTTTAGCCATGAGGCCACCTTACTTCTTGCTAATTAAAGTAAAATAAATAGGAGACCTCCCCACCTCAAACATTCTATGAAGTGAATGAATATTGAAATTGAAAGTGAAAAGATAATTCACTTATTATGAAATAAAGGGTTCAGAAGCTTATGAAGAAATGGTGGCTTTAAAAAAAAATCATTAGGGGCAGCTAGGTGGCACAGTGAATAGAGCACCAGCCCTGGAGTCAGGAGGACCTGAGTTCAAATCCGGCCTCAGACCAAACACTTAACACTTACTAGCTGTGTGACCCTGGGCAAGTCACTTAACCCCAATTGCCTCACCAAAAAAGAAGAAAAAAGAATCATTAAATCAGAAATGCAAGGAGCTAGAAGTTTTTCTGATACCTTTCAGTTGCCCCATTGTTTATTAGGCTGAGCAATGTAGTGATTAAAATACACATTTGAAGCTTCCTTTGCTTTTCTTGAATAAGGAAGGAAACCTCACTAGCCTGGCTTAAGGGAAATAGCGCTAGGTCAAGAGTGACATCAGTCTTTTAGTCCTGGCTCTGTCCCTCACTTGCCCTGTCTCTGGCAAGTCACCTTCCCTGTTGGAGCCTTAGTTTCTTCTTCTGTAAAAGGAAGGAAAGAAAGAAGCATTTCTTTACTGCCTACTGTGAGCCAGGCACTTTCTAGAATGTGCCCCGGGAGGTAGGGAATATTGTTATTTCCATGCGAGGAAACTAAGGCAGACAGAGGTTAAATGGTTCACCCACGGTCATATAGCTAGTAAATACCTGAGGCTGGATTTGAACTCAGGTCTACTCTGACTCCAAGCTCAGCACTCTATCCAGCAGGCCACCTAGCTGCCTACAACCAGAGCATTAGATTAGTCAATCTTTAAGACCTCCTCTACCCCTAAAATTCTATGACTTTATAAAAAGTTCATCCAGTATATCAATCAGGTGTTGTTTTTTTATTTGTTTTATAAATGAAAGCAGGGTTTTAGGGCAATTAATGTGTCCCCATGCATGGAATGGATGGGAAGGGGAGAGAACGGAGATGATGAATGTGACCTGAGGGATCAATGAAATGAAGGACTCCAGGAATTCCCCCCTTCCCCCTATAACTCCCTCCCCTTCGAACTATGCCCCCATTGACGGCGTGTCTCTGCAGGAGGAGATGTGTATTTTTCCGCTCCTGAAACAATAGTGGAGAGCACCCAGCATTCATTAGGTCCTGAGGGCAGAGAAAAGGAAGGACCTAGGTCAATAAAACAGAAGAAATAATAAGCAGCAATGTGATCGTGAAAGTGCTTCTCCTTTTAAGAGCATTCTCACACAGATTGTATCTGATATGAGCCCTGCGACAACCCTGGAGGGAGCAGGCAGGGAAAGGAGGGTTATCCCCTTTCTGATCCCCATCCCTGTCTGTCCTTCAAGGCTTAACTCAAATGCCACCTCGCTCGTGATGTCTTCCCTGATTCCCCTAGCTAGAAGTGATTTCTCCCTCATCGGATCTCCAACTCTGTACAATCCTTTTACATTCCTATATTCAATTTGTATTTTATTTGTCTGTGTTATACGACATCTTCCTCTGGTCTCCAGGAGCAAAGACGCTTCTTTATTTGTCTTTGAATCTCCCCTTGTGACTAGAACTAGGATCTGTACAAAGAGGCTGCTTAATAAGTGGCTAAATAAATGAATGAACAGATAAGGAAAAGTCAATTTGACAAAGGGAAGTGACTTGCCCAGGATCATACAGCAAGGAATCAACAAGCATTTAAATATCTACAATGTGCACAGCACCAAAAATTTGCAGTGGAGTCAAGGCTGCTATCCAGGCTACTGCATTTCAAGCCTGCTTCTCTCTGTCTCTCTCTGTCTCTCTCTGTCTCTCTCTGTCTCTCTCTCTGTCTCTCTCTCTCTCTCTCTCTCTCTCTCTTTCCTTCTCTCTTCCTCCCTCTCTCCCTCCCTCCTTCCCCCTTCTCTATCTCTACCTCTCTCCTTCTACCTCTTCTGTCTTTGTCTTTTTCTGTCTCTCTCTCTACCTTCCTCTCTCTTCTTTTTCTTTTCTCCCTCATTTCTCTGTTGCTGTCTGTCTCTCTCCTTCCCTCCCTCTCTGTCTTTGTCTCTGTCTCTGTCTCTCTCTGTCTCTCTCACACCCTCTCCCTCTCTCTCTGTCTCTGTCTCTCTCTCCCTCCCTCTCTCTCTCTCTTTGTCTCTGTCTCTCTCTCTCTGTTACAAGGGATGGCTCACCAAATTGGGGAGAAGGGCACATTTGGAAGTAAAGAAGATATTAAAATAAAAGGTATCAATAAAAATTAAAAATAAAACAGACTCTAGACTTTATACTTTTCAAAATATCTTTACATTCATTGTTTCATTTGGACCACAAAACAATCCTATTGTTGATGATGAACGCGGGGTCAGGGAAGAATTATCTCCATTTTACAGAAGAGGAAATAGAACACTGAGGTGAAGGTAGGAAGTGCAAACCCTCCAAGTAGACACCAGGTCTCCCGATGCGATTCCTAGTCCAATCATTTTCCACAATACGACATACAACAATGCCTCTCCAGTTCAACATTTTACGTGTAGGCACTTATACGGGGTTCGTGATTTTTCCCAGGAAGAGAGAGCTCCAGGTGAAGTGATCAAACACAAAGAACAGGAAAGGTCTGTTGAACTTGATGATCGGATGATATGATTTGAATATCACATTTAGTCCAGTGCCTGCAGCTGCCTCTGTGCCCTCTTCATCAATGCTGAGTACAGCCTTATGGAGGAACTGGGAGAGAGAAATGAGCGGGTCAATCAATAACAAGAATAATGACATTAATAACTAGCATCAGAGGATTTGCAAAGTGTTTTGCATATATGAACTCCTTCATTCAATTAATCAGCAATATTTACACTAACTTCTGTTTCTATTTTGCTCTTGGTTTATAAAGTACTTTCCATGGGCTCTGTGAGGCTGGTAACACAGAGAAGAAAACTGAGGGTCACAGAAGTTGTTACTGGTTCAAGTTCACAAAACTCCCAAGGAGAAATCGTGGCATAGTGTGAAGAGGGCCATATAGAGAGTCAATAAATCATGCAATCAATCAAAAAGCACTTATTTAGCACTTTATATGTACCAGGCATTGTGCAAAGCACTGGCAATATGGAAAACAGTAAGGTTCAAATGACAGCTTTAATATTTGTGTTGTTGTTCAATTGTTTCAGTCATGTCTGACTCTGTGATCCCATCTGAGGTTTCTTGGCAAAGATGCTGGAAGGGTTTGCCATTTCCTTCTTCAGCTCATTTTTACAGATGAGGAAACTGCGGAAAACAGAGTTAAGTGACTTGCCCAGGGTCATACAGCTAGTAAATGTTTTAAGCTGGATTTGAACTCATGAAGATGTCTTCCTTATTCCCAGCCCAGTGCTCTGTCTACTGAGAGGTTAAGAGACTTGCCCAGGGTCATATGTCCAGTATGTGTCAGAGGTGAGTTGTGAAGTGCAGACTTCTGATTCCACTGATATGCTGGAGTTTAACTTCCTGACATCTGTCATGCCAGGCTGCTGCTCCACTGCACGTGGAACAGTGGTTAGAGCACTAAGCCTGAAGTCAGGAAGAGATGAATTCAAATCTGGCCTTATATACTTGCTAGCTGTATGATCCTGGGCAAGTCACGTAACCTCTATTTGCCTCAATTTCTTCATCTGTAAAATGGGGATAGTAATAGCACCTATCTTCTAGAGTTCTTGTGACGATCAAATGAGATAATATTTGTAAAGTGCCTAGCATAAGGCCTGGAACATAGTAAGTACTATATAAATGTTAGCTATTATTATCATTTGTACTATGAATTCATGTTTATTCTACATAGAGTGCCTCTGCTTGTATTAATAGCCACATAGGTTATTTTGACTTTGCATTCTTCTTTATCGAATTCATGAGTTTTGCTTTATAATTACACCAGTCTCTCTTTACTCCAGTTTTTTTTCTCAACTTTTTTGAAATACTCTTCTGAAACTTTCAGTGATTTAACTAGTACAAGTCCTCCAGGAGTATTAATAATGTAGGATTGTAGGATAATAGATTTCAAGCTAGAAAGGGCCTTAGAGGCCAACCAGTCCAAACCCCTCATTTTACAGAAAAGGAAACTGAGGCCCAGAAAAGTGATTAAGTGACTTGATCAGGGTTACATAGGTAATAAGTGAAAGGGGTATTGTTTAAATCAGGTCCTCTGATTCCAAATTTAGGGCCCGCTCTTTATCAGCTGGTTCCTTGCGTCAATGGTTATTTGATCTTGGTTGTTTTAAAGATTTATTCTTTTGTCTTGGAGACTGTTCAAAAACTTCCTTGAAACTGTAAACTTTTCAAATTCTATTTGTTGATAAAATTCCCATCTCCTATCTTCATACAGTATGGTAAGTTTTGCTAGATGAATAGTTTAGGCTCATGGCTCAAACCTCTTAACTTAGTAAATGTATTCTATGCATGAAAAGTTTTATGCATGAAAAGTTTACCATGATCCTAACTATATTTGTTTAGTAAATGATGTTTGAATCATTTGTTTTGGAAACATACTATTTTTCCTTGTATTTATAACTCTGGAATGTAATTATGATGTGTCTAGACATGTTAAGTCTTGGGTTTTTCTTTATTAGTGCCCCATGCATTCTTTCGAGTTGTTTTTGCCATTTCTGGGAAGTTTTCTTTGATTTCCTGAAATATAACTCCAAAATTGTTTTGTTTTTCTAAGTCCTTAATATCCATAATCCTTACATTGCAGACTGATGATCTATCTTTTGACCTGTCATTCAGATCTATGTATTTTCCAACAGTTTAGAAAACTAATTAATTTTTCTAATCCTGTCTTTAAAGCTGGTCTGTATTATTGCATCTCATTTTCCATCATAGTAAGTCTGCTATTTGTTGCCTCTCTGCATCTGTCTTATTTTAGATTTTCAGTTGTGTTTCTCACATTGGTCATTTCTCATATTTTAAGAGAGGCAATGTGGTATCTTGAATAGAAAGCTAGCCTCTGAGCCAGGAAAACCTGGGTTCAAGTCCTACCTCTCACACACACACACACACACACACTGCCTGAGTGACCCTTACCACATCACTGAACCTCTAAGTGCTCTTAAAAACTCATCAAAAATATCAGTTGCAGAGAAGGTACTGATCTCCATTGGCAAAGGAATTTCTTCACTGTGAACTCCTTATACCAATGAAACCACAGATCAAGGATCTATACTTAAACCTTATTTAATTTTTTAATCCGATTTTTTACTTTCCATAAGTGCTTCTTTTATCTGGCCTCCTGATTTTCTTCCTTACAGCCCCAACACATACACACCTTCCTGGTTTTATTGTGAGAGAGAGAGGGACACAGGTGTGGGAATTAGGTATCCTTCTTTCTTGGCATTTTGTGAGCTGATCAAATTATGATGACTCCATGGAGCAGACTAGTCAGCAATATCTTGGGGAAAACTTCAAAGGTCCAGCTCTGGATTCCATGAGGCAAATCCATTCATTATGGCTTTGGTGGCCTCTGTTCAGATCTGGACCCCAGCCCTAGCTGCTTAATTTGATGTCCCTTTCAGGGCCAAGTAGGCCCTTTCTAAGTCATATTTGGCAGCTGCTACATACAACATGTTTAGGATACTACTTCTTTTGCTAGCAGTTAACATAGGAGTAAGGATTCACTATAACAAAGCCACTGCTTATGCAATATTTGGTGGTCTGGCACTCTCAGCATGCAAAACAATCACACCAGGCTTTAGCACCTGGAGTCTGGGGATTTACGTGGCCAGGATCTCAAAGGCCCCACTCTGGGTTAGGACATCTGATGAATTTGTAATGGATGACTAGAAATGAACCTGTATGGAGGAGGGGAAGGTGGAGGACACATAGCCAGGGGGGCAGCAGCTAGGGTAAGACTGTGTGTGGGAAGGATAGCGGCAACCCAGACCACCTTTTATGTAGAAGCAGGTGGGCAGCCTAGGAAAAAAATTCTTTATTGGTTTCTTCAACTATGATATTTATCCACCTGGATTTGGCCACAGGACTGTCATTTATTAACCCCTGGACTATAGACCTATGTGACTCTGTAAGCTACATGCCTAGAGGCAGTCTGAATAAAAGGAACTGTCTTATACAGGCTCTTTGAAACTTCCAGTCACATCAAGCCAGTGATGACAGAATGTCCTCACAGATCTTTTTCAGGGTCCAGACTAAGACTTCCCTCTGGTGGCTGGAAATGTGAGCTTATCCTATTCGTTATAATTTCTTTTTGCTACCACATAGTGTTCTCTCTGTCCTGGTGCTCCCGTGATTTGAACCCAGACCCTCCAAAGGTTATGTAGTTCCAGCCAAACTAGTCTTTTCTCTGTTCTTCACTCGTGATACTCATCTCCCATATCTGTAGCTTTGCACTGGCCAACTCCAATGGCCGAGAATGTTCTTCCTCTGCCCCTCCATCTTACAGAGCCCCTTTTTTCCTTCAAGAGGCAGCTCAAGCATCAGATTCTGCATAAAGCCTTTCCTAATACTCAATTGCTAGGCTCTCTTCCCAAATTGCTTTGTATTTAACTACTTTGTACATAGTTTCATATATTAACTGTAACTTTATGTTTTCTGTATTTTACATATATTGTTGTCTCCCCTGTTAAAATGCAAGCTCTTTGGGAGTTGGGATTGCTTCAGAATGAAAGGACGACTTCATTCTTTGTACATGTATCCCTAGTAACTAGCACAGAGCCTGGCATATTTTAATAAGTACTTGCTGACTGATTGATTGATTGACTAGTTAGCGGGGGAGGCAAGATTAGAAACATGGTCTCCTACTTCCTTTAGCTACTTCCTTTAGTAATTGGTAATTAAGGATGTCCCTGAAAATACATACTTTTTCATTAGCAATCTATCTGAAATGTGAGTTTTGGCAAGGAAGAGTCGATTTGAGTTACTTACTTCAGACAGTTGAACTGAGGCTTCTTTAGTGATGCCAGAGAGATTGGCTTGGCTGGTGAATATGTCCATTACCCCCATTTCCCTTAGGACATCTTCAAGATCATAGGATTCAGAAATACACAACTTTGGAATATATAAATCCACATGTCTGTTTAGGGGGAAATAGAAAATGGTTAAAAGTGTTGGGAAGGCTAGAGAGAGAGCCCTGGCCATCTTCTCCTCCTAATCCTCTATCTCTGTCTTCCCAAAACTTGCTCTCTTGGGTTTCCCAGTTGGCCCTGGTTACTTCAGGGTGTAGAAACAGCTGCAGAACAGTTCGGCCCCCCTCATGATACCAACCCTGCCTCTGCTGGTCATGTGTTTCCCAGCAGACAATGTAGTATAGAGGAGACCAACCATACATTAGAGTAGAAAAAAGACCCAAATTTAAAGCAAGATGGAGGCTTGGACTGGTTTATCTCTAAGGTCAATGCAACAAGCATTTACTAAAATTACATTCATAAGAATTAAACTGTGTTCAGTTCTGATCATCCTGATTTAGGAAGGACATTGATAAGCTGAAGTATGTCCAGAACAGGGTGGCCAGTACGTGAAGTAGACTAAGGGAGTTTAGATTACAGAAAAGATTGGGGGAGGGGGGGCGGCGGGACAAGGTGTTATGACAACAGATTTGTTATCATATATGACTCTGTGAATTTTTTTTTTTTTATGTGAGGCAAGTGGGGTTAAGTGACTTGCCCAGAGTCACACAGCTAGGGAGTGTTATGCGTCTGAGGCCAGATTTGAACTCAGGTCCTCCTTACTCCAGGGCCAGTGCTCTATCCACTGTACCACCTAGCTGCCCCATTGTTATCACATTTGAAAGACTGCTGTCTTGTGGAAAAAGAAAAAAGATTTGTTATGCTTGGCCTCTGAGAGCAGAATTAGGACCTTGGCTTGGACACTACAAAGAGGCAGATTTCGGCTTAGTATAAGAGCCCCTTAATAATTAGTTGTCCAGGGGCATCTAGGTGGCACAGTGGATACAGCACCTGCCTTGAAGTCGTGGGGACCTGAGTTCAAATCCAGTCTCTGATCAGACACTTGACACTTACTAGTCGTGTGACCTTGGGCAAATCACTTAAGCCCAATTGCCTCACAAAAAAATAAAAATAAAAATAATAATTAGTTGTCCAAAAAGGGAATAGGACATCTCTAGGCATTGAGGTGGAGGGAGAACACATTCTAGTAGAGAGGAAAACGTCATTCACTTAGGATGACTTACAAAGCCTTTTCCACTTTGGATAATCTCTATAACTCTTCTATCATTTAACACAGACAATATGTTTGCAGGATCAGAGCTCCAGCGATGAAAGGGAACTCAGAGTCCATCTAAGTCTAGTCCTATCATTTCCTTATACTCAATCGTCATAGTCAAGTCCTTGAATAAGGACACTAAGAGACCTAAGGGTTTTAAATGACTCATCCAAGATCTCACAGGTAATAAGTACCCTACTTATCTTTTTGTTTGAGTGCCTAGAAACCTTCTAGCAATGAGCTAAGTTTCATTAATTTGACTCAAGAAAAGAGTGAGCCCCGCTTTAAGAAAACCCTATATACCCAAACCTTAGCTTATAAAATAGATAAAATAAAAGTAATTCTTTACTTTGCTGAAAGGTTCATTATAGGATCTGTTTACATTAGGGGTTGTTGACACACGTAAGTACTGGCTTACAGATACTTAATTACTCGGGGGAGAATCTATCAGAAGGAAAAATGTATCAGAAGTGTGAAGCATCCCTGCCCAAGGACAATGCATCAGAAAGTATTATTATCATTAATAATAACAATATCAGCAACATAAACAACTGCTAGTGTTTATGTAGCTGTTACAAAGTCCCATTCACTTTCATCTGAGCCTAACAATAATCGTGTTCATGTGCAAATGTTATTATTTCAGTTTTAAAGATGGTAAAGAGGTTTGCCTAAGACTGAACATCTAGGAATCAATGAAGTTAGTGACTGATCTTCTGGGAGCTTAACAGTACAGTATTTTTTTTTTTCCGCTATGTTATACGGAAGCTCTAGAATGACAGCTTGAGTCTATAAGAAAACTTAATTCAATGCGCAAATTTTCAGTTTCCACACTCTCTTTGGACCCAGCCTATGGCAGAAGTCAAGGCCCCTTTGGAGGAGGTCTGGCTGATGGGATTACCTGTACCGACGGAGCTGTGACCATCTGTTCAGCATGTCTCGGCTCAGGGCAGCCACCACCTGATCCATCTTCCCCTCATCTGGCAGAATGAAGAAGGCTGTGGCACTCCCCGAGTACTCCAGTTGCACCACTGTGCAGGACAGCTCCTTGTCAAACAAGTGATTATTGGCCCTAGATTGGAACATCATCAACATGTCCACGCTGACATTCTCACCTGTGTAAAACTTCTGCATTTCGGTGACATTGGAGTCAAAAGATTTTGCCCATCTTCCTGAGGAAGTAGAAGAGGGAGAGAAAGAGTGAGCAGGAAAAAGGTGGGGGGAACAGGCAAAGAATGAAGATCCATATAAGGAATTAAAAAGGAGAAATAAGGGAGAGAAATAAAAAAGGAGGGAAGAAAGGCTAATGGAAGAGAATGAATGAAAAACAGAGATAGACATAGAAAGAGAGAATAAAAGACTATAAATCTAATCTATCCCATTCCAAATAACTACAAAATGTATAGCATATCTTGGCATCAACTTAACGAAGCACAAACAGATAATTGTATAAATTCAGTTACAAAGTGCTCCTTAAAGAAATAAAGAACAATTTTAATAGCTGGAGGAATTTTAATGCTTATGGCTAGGCCATGCCAATATAATAAAAATGACAATACTACCAAAGTTAAGTTACACTTTTAGTGCTATTCCATTCAAATTATCAAAGGGATATTTTTGCAGAACTCAATAAAATATTAACAAAATTCATTTGGGAAAAATAAATTGTCATCACCCAAACTAGCTGGAGTCTTATGACTTCCGTGACAGGCACCCAAGAAAAGGGAACAATGGAGAAAATTGTTATGTATTTTTGTTTTGTATTCCCACTGCTTAGCACTGGTACTCAGTAAATTCTTAATAAATACTTATTGACTGATTGACTGATGGAGAACTTAGGTGACACAGTAGCTAGAAAACTAGGCCTGGAGTCAGGAAGACTTCAGTTCAAATCTATCTTCAGACACTTATCAGCTGTGTGACCCTGGGCAAGTCACTTAATCTCAGTTTCTTTAACTGCAAAATGAGAATAATAATAACATTTACCTCCCAGAGCAGTTGTGAGGATCAAATGAGATAACTGTAAAACATCTGGCAGATAGTAAGCTCTATTACTGTGATTAATTATTACCCAAACTATTCAGGGAGTTTTGTGCACAAATCCCCAGTGAACTCACAACATGACCTAGAACGTAAGACTTCCACAAGGACATTCATAACACAAGGAAACACTGAGAAACACAGAATATCACTCCAGAACATCAGACTCCCAGAACTACTCTCCTGCACAACAAATACCCTCACTGGCTCCCTACATGTCTCTGACAAATAGCTCTGCAATAACAGTGAGACAAGTCGGCCCAACACGGGACCAAATTCTGCTTGGTTTTACTCATTGCTTGTTAATGATGCCAGAGAGGAAGATAGGCTAGTGCCCGCCTCAGGGTTATTGCCTACAGCTGCTGCCTTCCTGCTTCTATAGTTGGCAATCGTATGGTAATTATATTCAGAGGAGAAACTTAACCTCACGTTTTGACAGTGCAGATCAGGGATGGGGAACCCGCGGGCCTCGAGGTCACATGTGGCCCTCGGCTGTTTGCTTCAGTCACGTGTGACCTCGAGGCCACAGGTTCCCCACCCCTGGTAGACAGCCACTGAAATGAAGTCTTCTTAGGTGTATCATGCACTCTAACACAAGTGAGATGGGCAGTTTTTCTGGAGCTGTAACCCATTGCTACGTGTCGCACTAGGAGGGAGTCTGGCTCCTAACTGGCTGAGACAATGGTATGTACTTTGTGCACCAGCACTAAGGGAGATTGTTGGAGGACATTCTGAAGAAGGAGGCAGGAGAGATGGATCAAGAAAGGCAAGATGTGAACTTTTGGGTGGATAATGGGAGTCCCCAGAAGCTCAAGCATGAGAGAAAGGCAACCCTAGAGCACCCACCCTGGAGTCAGGAGGACCTGAGTTCAAATGTGGCCTCAGACACTTGACACTTACTAGCTGTGTGACCCTGGGCAAGTCACTTAACCCTATTGCCTAGCCCCAAAGAAAAAAAAGAGAAAGGCAACCCTGATCATGTTCCTTGACTTGTAGGGCCTGTAACCTCAGAGATTGCTGAGAGCAGACTCCCCTTGGGACATGATTTCCTCTCTCCTTGGTTGTGCTGATGAAGTATTTTATCTTGCTTCCAATTGAAGAACTCCTTTATTACTGTGCATATTTTGTTCTATTCCAATCCTTATAACTCCCCTGATTTCTGTGAACTATTTTGCTTGGATAAATGAGTTTACTTGCTATTTGCTTTTCATGGTGGTCTTTTCTGGAACCAGCATTTTGTGGGAGGGAGAAAAGCTGGTGACATTAAGTGCAATCAGGAAAAGTGGCATGTATCCTGAGCTCCCCAAAATGTTCTCCCTAGACTTACAGATATTTAAAGTCTGCTGGATAAACTTGATTCTAGCCCAGTATCATTCTTGGACATAGATAAGCAAAGGAATAAGTACTCAACCATGGGCATCTTCCTGCTTCCTTTAAAGGCAGGAATCAGACTTCCCTGGAAAGGGATTGGTCACATTCCAGATCAGACAATCTGTCAGTGCCACAGGTCAGACAGCCATCTTTATATGTTTAGACAGCAACCACATACATATATCTTATAAAAGGGCATCTATAAGACAGTCCTATGTGGAAGTGTGCACATACACACACACACACACACGCACATGCACACCGTAGCCTGTCCCTGAGGCCTAAAATTCTACTATTAAAATTTCATTCACTTAGCTTAAAGTTTTTTAGGTAAAATGTCAACACCTCTGTGAGAGAGTGTGACCTTATCCAGTGGGTTTACCTCTAGGGCTCTGTTCCAGGCCCTCTTCTCTTTATATGCTTTTGGCGATTCCATCAACTCCCATGGGTTCAATGATCATGTCTACGCAGATGACTCTCATATGTATCCAGCATTCCTCTCCTGAGCTGCAGTCTCACCTCTCCATTTGCCTAACTAGTCATCTCTACCTGAATGTCCCAAAAGCATCTCAACTTTCCTATCTTTCCCTCTAAACCCTCTCCGCAGCCCCCGTTCTTCCAGGTCCACAAACTCAGAGGCATGGTCAACCCTTCATCTCATTCACCATCCCCTATATTTAATTAGTGGCTAAGTTTCCTTGATTCTACCTCTACAAGACCTCTTGCTTCTGTCTTCAATTAACACTTATAAACACCATAAGTCAAGTACCCATCACCTACTGCCTAAACTAGGGCTGGGGAAACCTATGGCCCTGAGGTCACATGTGGCCTTCTAGATCCTTAAGTGCGGTCTTATGACTGAATCCAAATGTCATAGATCTGGTTCTGTAACATTTGAATTCAGTCAAAAGGCCGCACTTAAGAGTCTAGAAGGCCACGTGGCCTCAAAGCCATAGGTTCCCCATCCCTGGCCTAGAATATTTCCAAGTTTTCCAACAGGCCTCCCTGCATCTAACCTCTCTCCTCTCCCATTTGTCCTTTTATGCACAACTGCATATTCCTAAACTGGTATTCCTAAAACATAGATTTGACCATGCTACTCCCAAGCTAAGAAGCTTTAGTGGTTCCCTACTTCTTTTAGGATAAATTACAAGCTCCTCCGTTTAGTATTTAAAGCCCTACCTATCTTTCTAATCTAATCATAATCCCTCTCATATACTCAGCCTTCCAGTCAAAATGTCCCTCTTGCTGCTCCCATAATCAATAGTCCCTTCCCCCTGGCCATTTCCCACACCTAGAATGCTGTCCCTTCTTACCACTGCTGTTTGGAATTCCTAGATCCTTTCAAAACTCAGCTTAGGTAGCACCTGCTACAAGAGACATTTCCTGATCCCCTCCCCCCAGGAATTAGGACTACCCCTAATTACTTTAACTTAGTTGTATTGTATATTTATTTGTAACTTACCTTTGTTGTATCCATCTAGAAGGGAGAATTGTCCTTGAGGCAGGGATGGCCTCATGTTGGACTTTCCGTCCTTAGAACCTAGCACACTGCTTGCCACATTGTAGGCATTTAATATATTCTTTTTGAACTAAATTGAATTATCAGTCATTGACATCTTAGGATCTTATGATTTAGAGCTAGAAAATAACATTAAGAGACCGTCTACTTCATCCCCCTCAATTGCCAGGTGAGGGAACTGAAGTAGGATTAGCTAAGCACAAGGTCCAAGGTCACACAGGTAGTAACTATCAGAGTCAGAACTTAGAGAGCCGGGTCCCTTATCGCCAAATTCAATGCTTCTTCCACCACATAGAGCTCCCTCTCAGTGTGAGTAGGCTCAGCATATATGTTCACAAGAACAAGTTTTGAGAACAAAAATAATAATTATTATCATAAAAAGCTACCATTTATATATGCTTTACATACATCATCTCATTTGATTCTCACAACATGGGTGAGGTAGGGGCTATTATCCCATTGATAGATGAGGAAACTGAGGCTCAGAGAGCTTCAGTGACTTGCCTAGGATCACACAACTAATAAATATTGAACTCAGGTCTTTGTGATTCCAATTCTAGGATTCTATCCACTATACCACTGGATATCTCATGGATAAGAGACGGGTCAGGGAGATCAAAATATGAGGGTACTGGTTGACTGAACAACAAGAAGTAAAGGTGAAGAAAGTACAGACTGGGAGCTGACACAGGCAAATTTTGTCTTCACTGCTAGTCCTGGGGCTGGCCATGAGCTTCAGTGTTCTGGGAGGATTGTTGGATTGCGGAATAAGGACCCTGTATCCTTGTTAGTGGCCCAAAGCCCAACCTGTCCGTCGCTCCCTCCATAACCAGAGATGTAGAGACAGTGAGGCTACACTGAGTTAACCTACGAGTACCTGCCCTGCCCATCTGCCCATCACTTAACAGAAGGGCTGACTTTCAGTTACACTCAGTTACGTCCCAATAATGCCATCTGTATGTTATATTTTCCCATAGTTACTGACTGAGCCAAAATCTAGCCTTGAATCATAGAATGTTAGAACTGGAAGGACTATTATAATATTAGAGTTTGGAAGGGCTACAGGGACTATCTAATACAATGACCCCATTTTAGCAATGGGGAAATTGAAACCCAAATTGGGGAAGAAACGTGCCCAAGTCATTGATTGGCAAATCGGGGACTAGAACCCAGAAAACCTGACTCAACAACTCAACAAATTTAAATTCAGTGCCTACTGTGTGGAGACAACTGGGCTCCATGATGGGAGAGATACAGACTTCATATAATGTAGACATCCCTGCCCTTGTGTAGCTCAGGGCCTACTAGGGAATATGACATACAGACAGATGGACAGACAGACAGACAGATAGATAGATAGATAGATAGATAGATAGATAGAGAGAGAGAGAGAGAGAGAGAGAGAGAGAGAGAGAGAGAGAGAGATAGATAGATAGATAGACGGACAGACGGACAGACGGACAGACGGACAGACGGATAGATAGATAGATAGATAGATAGATAGATAGATAGATAGATAGAT